AAATCACTTTGGATCCTATAAAACACTAAGTCAAATTAAACAAACCATATTGTGCTCAGTATATGAACCTTTGTTCATACTTGTTCTCGCACTAAATGCAACAGACCATTTCTCCTCATGTCCATTTAACACCAGAACACAGAGATGTTATGGGTCAGTATGGAGTAAGTGTCCTGAAAAATTATTTAGCTCTTATATTTTTGGAATTCTTGCTATTTTTGTTATCTTTGCCACCATGTTCTACCAGAACTTCAAGTAGGTCTACTAATATGTACATATCTATGTATATGTATATGTATATGTATATGTATATGTATATGTATATGTATATGTATATGTATATCTGTATGTGTATGTGTATGTGTATTTATATAGTCTGAGCAAACAAATAGCACCAACTTTTGTTGTTTGACATTTCTTTCATGAACATATCCAGAAAAGTTCCAGTTTTGACTTATCTATCCATACAACTTTTCTCCAGAAGTCTGGGCCATCCAGCTCCTTTTGGGCAGCTGTGGTATAAACATCAGGGGGCCATGATTTTTACTTTGCTACTTTCCATTCATCATATTTTTATCTACTGCTTTGCTATGATGCTGATAATAGCTGAGAGCCAGATAAAGTGATCTGATAAGAAGCTTCAAATACCATTTAAAATTGTCTCTGCCTCATTAGATGAAGAGGCCTCTGTACCCAACTATTAAACTAAAAGAAATGAGAAGGGAAGACTGGTAAGGATGACTGATGAAGTAACTCTACAGTTAAGTATCCCTTAATTTGGATGACAACATAGAAGAACTTAGAAGGGAACTATATACCACCAAAGAAATTATGATGGGACCCATGTCTTGAAAGTATCCATAAAAGCCTTTAAGATATGCCTTAGGGCTAACGACAAAATAATCAAAGCCACCAGGTAAGTCTTGAATAATTTTACTGTCATGTCTCCAGCTTGCTTGCCAGAGGTAATAGCAACAGAATGAAAACTGGCAGAAAAACCTGCTGACATTTCTTGGTGAAATGTCTAAAGAAACAATCCTTCCATCCTGAGAGATCATCATGGGGTGATCCAGTATGGGCTTCTTTATTTGCCCTACCAATAAATTCCTCTAGCTAATGATTGAATTGAAGCCAGTGAGCCAATTTATAAGAAAGGGGAGAAATCTTATATGTGATTTTTTTTGTCTAATATACTAGACATAATTTGTAAACCATGTACTTGACATTTGGAATGTAAATCAAGTGATGGGCTGGATCAGTTGAAGATCCAGCTTCATCGGATCATTGAGCTAGTTTCTCATTGGCTGAGAAACTAGCTGGGTTCAACTGGGGAAATCAACAATCAATTATTGTATAGTACTGTATCAACTACTGTAACAAATAAGTATTCTAACCATCCCCGCTATTGGTTTCATGGATTTAGAGACAGCTTTAAATTCAGCACCCTCTTCCAATGTCCAGAGATTTCTGATTTTGTTTCAATGAACTCAAATAATATTTTATTGTGCTGGTTATTCTTTGTGATCTGGCACTCAATTTCCTTGTTATCCATTTTTTATAAGTCTGATGAATCAACTACTCATTTTTAAAAAATGTGTTAATATTCAGTTGCTGGTTATCTTCAAAAGGGGAGTCAAAGCTTATGAGATTTATATTAGTCAAGGCTAGCCTAAATTGTGACCATTATTTAAAGGCATGCTCAATTATTGAATCTAGCCATTTTTTAAAATTAAATTGATTGCCCTAAAGGGGTTGGTTATTTTTCCATATGTGCAATTGCATGTTAGCTAACAAAAGAAAAGCACCTGTCTGTGGCAGGTGCTTCTGAGAGTCATGGAGAAGGGACTTTCTGCTCTTGGCTTGCTACCTTATGTGTCTTCAGGGTCTGCTCCAGGCAGGGCACTGTAGTGTCACTAGTGGGCAGCCAATGCTCAGCTAAGCCATCTTCCCACTAGCTAGGCTAAGTCCTCCCTTCTGTATGAAGGAGGAACTGAGAAGCATAATGGTCTGGGGCTGCTGGTGTTGCTATCCTTCTTCCCATCTCCCATTGCCTGGAGAATGAGAAGTAGAGGAGGATGGAGATTATTAGAGAGTATAAACATTATACTTTCAAGAGTGGTGTGGTGGCCTAAAGGTGGAGCTCTCACCTCACAATCAGGAGGCTGTGAGTTCGATCCTAGGTTGAGGCAGATATTTCTCTCTCTGGGCACACTGAGAATATATCTGCTGAACAAAACTCTGCATTGGCAATAGGAAAGGCATCCGGCCATTAAAACACTCTGCTAGCTCCATTCAGTTGCCCAGACTCCACCCCGCAAGGTATTATGGGGTTGTTAAAAGAAGATGATGATGATAAACATTATACTTTCATTATAAAACTATATATTGTTTTTTTAGTAAAAATAGTCAAGATACGATAAAAATTAATAAATAGATAGGCATATAGATAGAGACAATCCATTTGGCATGGCATATTTAGATTTGCAACAGCTTTTGTCACTAAAAATTATTGAATAGTTGTGGGATACAGTGGCCCCTCTTATGGTTAGATAACTGATTAAAGGGTAGAAAACAGAGGATAGGAATAAATGCTCATCTAGATACTAATTGTAGGAAGACTCTCGTGATGATAGATATGTTTGTTTTTCTGTTTCAGAACAATTGGATTTAAAATCCAAAGGACTGTTCTGTAAGATGCCTTCTGGAATTTTGTAAAAGCTTTCCTTTTCTTTATAAAAGTTCTGTAGGGTACTTTGGATGTTTATTTCAAAAAAGGCAAAAACAGAATATAGAGAAAGAGATATATAGCTAAATAAGTGTGTATGGTGGAATTTTCTGTACAATTGTCTTATATTTTATCCTGACAATTGACTTTCACAGTAAACAACACACATTCCTTTATATCTGTGTCAGCCATCACAATATTGGTGGTAGTATTTAATCATCATCATAACTATTCCCATTAAAATATGTACAGGAACCCTTATTCGATTTCAAGAATTTAAAGTAAGGATTCATTTCTTTGCAGTCTGAGAAAGTCCCAGTTTGTTCAAAGTTGAGGCTTCTTTTCTCTGGGAAAAATCAATGTTTCTCTCACCAATGGATTTATCTGCATATCTAAGCACCTTCTGTAAATGCCAATAAAAGCAGTAGATAATATCCAAATGCATTCTACTCTACATAACCATCAATCATTTTGCTATAAATAGGTCACAGCTATGGCAATGCAACTTTACAGAAGCAAAGTATTAAAAAGTTTCATTTTAATTTAAAGGCAGAGATTGCAGGGAAAAAAAATTGGATTTTTCTTATGTAACATAGATTCTTGTCTTGAATTCAGTCTGTGAAATATTTCTTTAACATGGGATTCTTTATAGCACTATAAAACTTTCTTTCTACTATGATCTGAATTTGAAGGATAAATACAATTTGGATTGTATAAAGGTAGGTCTGTACCTGTCTATAATCCCTTTTACCAAATGTATATTTTCTTGGGATCACACATTTGTTGCAAAAGCAGCTTTAATGGAACCCAAAATGAGCTGTGCATGTGGCCGCACGTGCCCTGAATCACATTTTGCCCTTCAGATCTCAATTTCTGCAGAACCCTAATTTGAGCCTTACGTGTCCTCTAGTAAAAATACCATACAGCAAAGCGTTATTCACCTTCATCATTAGCAACAGCAGCAACTGATAAAAAATGCATTTTAGTGAATGCTGTAGGAATTGAAGTTAAATTATTGAGTGAAGTTGATTGAAGAGAAAAGAAGAAATTACTTAATTCGTGGAGTCTTTCTTCTGACCTTCTTTTGGAAGGATTCTTGAAATCCAAGTAACATCACATTTTAATTACATTTCTTCATTCATCACCTATTTGCCTTTTTAGGACCTCACTACTCTCAGTCGTTATTTTGCAGCCTAACTGCCCCATTTGGTACTACTCTGTTGCCAAAAGCACTGACCGCAGAAAAAAGTAACATACTATGGCAAACGACTGAAATGTTGGAAAAGGGATGGTGCGGAACTACAACAGCAAAAACTTTGGATGGATATGCGGTTTTCTAATGCACTTCCTCTGTTCTTGATTCAGATTACTTTATCAGTGAAAGCCAGTTAATGGTTGAAGTCGGTTCCCAGACTGATGGAAGTACATTTGGTGGCACTATTTCATCCTAATTCATCTTCAACTATGACTTATGTTTTCAGAGTTAATGCTGTGCACTTACAGAGTGGCTCTCATCCCAGAAATCTCTAAGTGCTTAAGCAAACATAATAGTAATTACTTCTAAGATGAAGGCAAGTATTTGCATTTTACAGTTAAGTAACTTCAAGCAAAGCAAATCAACCTTTATTCAGAAAAGGATGCAGCTGTTCTCACCTAGTACAAGAAAGGACAATGACAGTCACTGGGAATCTCAATGTAATGTTTAACTATATGCATAGATCTGAAGTGAGACCTCTGGCTATGACCCAGCAAGAAAAATCCTGGCTCATTTTGGCAAATGTTGCTTAGATGTTGGTTAGATGTTGACATATATGAGCTGTAACTGATGTTTCTGAAAGCCTGAGATAATGCACCCAGCCTTCTCCAGCTTAGAGCCTGTCATTCAATATGTTGGAAGCTCCGTGCTGTTTGGAAGCTATGTTATGTACCCCAAACATAGCTGGAAGCAAAAAAGAGTCAAAGAATGATGTGGTAACAACCACTTTCCAGAAAACTTTAAGCTTAATAGGTTAATAGAGGTACAGTAGATATACACTAAGGGAAAGAGGTTTGCATATATTAAATTCTATTCTTCAATTACATCATTCACCAGCTTACTTGCATTAACAGGAATATATCACTAACTATCAGCTTAAGGAAAGGATTGGCATGTGGTGATGAAATGCAGCGGGAAAGATTTATTCTGGGGTTATGAATTCTGAGAGGTAAGAAATCATTACACGCCTCCTCCAAATGTCAATGCTAATTTGTTTGTGTGAATAAATATCAAGCTCACCTGGTCCCCAGAGGGTGATGCACTGCTGTTCGTGAGTCTGGCACATCCCGTTATAGCAGTATCCGTCTACCCCGTAGCAAGAGTGCCCATCATGCAAGTAAACATTGGCTGGGCAATGAGGATTGCTTCCAGTACAGAATTCAGGGAGATCACAGGAATTACTGGTATCCCTGCATAAAATCCCTGCTGGCCTCAGCTGTAGGGAAAAAGAAGGGACTGCAGTTTCAAAGAAGAAAATGTATTATATTGTGGCTTTTATGCTACAGGCTAAAGTTGTCTTTCTCTCTTCCTAAGATTCTGTACCAGGCATCTATTAAACGCAGCATGAGAAGCGAAAGAGCACTTTATATGCCTCTCATTGATATACTGCAGAATTGTTTATGGCTTACTTTCAAAGGCCTACCTTCATTCCTCATTAAAATGCAAGCACAGCGCTTTGATGTTCTGCATCACACAGAAGCACACATCTTAAACCTCAAAGAACTCTGCCATAGTAGGCATACACGTATAGGGCTCCCATCTATTAATACTAGCAGCAAAGGGTATTAAAAAATACACACTGTCTTATGGGAGAAGATATGCTGGCCTCTTTCTTAAAAAAAAATAGTTTTCTCTCTCTCTCTCTATCTATCTATCTATCTATCTATCTATCTATCTATCTATCTATCTATAATTTTACTGAATATATATATTATTTTACTGAAAACACACCCATACCCCAGCCTTGAATATCTGAACCAATATAAACACCCCAGCCTTGAATATCTGAACCAACATAAACATTACTATGAAATCCTGCCCATACCATCTGAAGAATGATCAAATATTCACCTTGCAATCTTCACAGCAAAGTCCATGTGCACACACTGCTCCTGGCCTTAAAGTACAGGTTGTAGCATTACAGCATTGGTTCGTACATTCCTAAAGGGGGAAAAAACAACAACCCAATCATACTATAGGATTGTGTCAAACAATCAAGTTTGTATACAGACAATCTCAATGTACAGGATGACTTGATTCTCAAGGCAGAATTAAATAAAGTTCAGGCTAAGTGCTGGATTATTTCTGAAGTCCATAGATTTCAGGACTGTCCTTGCCTCAATCTGACTTTTCTTTCCTTAAGTATCCTTTCAATGATATCCTACCAAAGAGACCCAGGTACAAGTCCATCTTTAGCCATGGTTAATTTTGGGCTAATTTGGGACTAACTTTCTCTCTCAGCTCTAGACCTCACAATGGATCAAGTGCTAGGTACATCCCCTTGAGTTTCTATATGATACTCAGTTCTCCATTCAACGATTAAAAAAAGCATTCCTATCATATCTTTATTTAAGGTTTTAAGAAATAATATCATGAACAAACATTGGAAATGCTTGATAGTGTTGGTAGAATCCCACTGTGGTGGGAAATTTGCTGCATCACTAATTTTATGAACCAGCACGTGTTATTGAGACTATCCAAGCAGCTCCCACTATTTCTGCAACAATAACTCTGATTTGGCAAGGGGTCACAATCATACAAAGGGCAAAGAACCAATAAAAGCCAATAAACAGAGAAGTTATTTCTATATAAATCCCACTGTATTATGAACAGATTGCAATACTAGCTACTTTCATAAGAGCCATTTAAAAGTATGCACCAAGGCAATATTTCTGCCAGCCTTCTCTAGTGCTATAAAGCCATTAATAACTAAAGTTTGTAAGGCTGAGATTATTCAACCAACTCTTATTCTTTGTTTACCGGCAACTGGTCTACTAACATTATTTCCTGTAATTCTTTTAATATTTCAAAACAGTTATTATGGAGCTGTTATGTTTTTGTTTTTTAAAGGAGTTAAAGATATTATATTAATTTATAATTTGTTTGAACTACGTAGTTCTGTGCCTATTTGGAGCACTTCAAATGCATGCATGCCTATATTCATGTATGTATGTACCGTTATGTATGCATGCATGTATATATCCCACTTCATCTAAACAATTAAACTTCAAGTAATTGAAGCTACAACTAGTAGTATCTTTCTAAGTTTTTTTCTCTCTCTCGGTGGGAACTAGATCCTCTCTTCTGGAACTTGAGCACTATTTGTGCTCTCCCTGAATTGTTTCCAATTTATCTTGTATTGATCAGAACTAGCATAGTATGTAAATGTGATCTAATCTCTAGACTGAGCAGAGTCATATTATTGGTTCAAGTGTCTTGGAAATGATGCTGTTCTTAATGCAATTTGAAAGAACATTAACCTTTCTTTCCCGGTAACATATTGTTAGGTTAGTAATCTGTTCTAACCTTTAGGTTCTCCTTAGAAATACTATTTACCTTGATACAATCTTCTCAACTTCATTTTGTTGTACGTGTATAATATAATGCCATCTGTTGAAGTTGTTTGTAGAGTTTTCTATAATAATAGTAGCTACCCATTCCCATGTACTACACTTCCTATTTCTTTTTGTAGATTTTTATTTTCTTGGTATGTTTTTCACTTACTACATATATTTTCCTATTAGTCTACTATTTTGTCTTAACGGAAAATAAACGGAACCATACAGTTCAAATATCTCAAATGTCACAGGGAATGGTAATTGTTTTAGATTAAGGATTGGCAGAATCACCCTTCCATTGAGTTTCAAAAAAGCATAGCAAATTCCTTCTGCTCTGCCCAATTTCTGGAGTAGGTAATAGAATCTGAAACAGCTTCTATAATTTCACAAAAAACTTCAATTTGGGTGGCATCTGGAATTCAGAAGAGAGTGTGTATTTCTACCTTAGGGCTATACTTACACCCTCCCCCTTCATAGACTTCATAGTGTGACAATTTTTAGAAGTGGAGACAGCTATAATATGCCAATTACTTTTAGTTTTCTTATCACTAGGACATTTTTCTATAGAGCTCATGCATGACATCCCTATAAGTGCCATCTATCCCATTGGAAAGCTGAAGAAGGTAGCCAAACAATCTATTTGCTAACATAGTCAGGTAATTAGCAACCAGTGATGTACAGGTTGGCTCCAACATACTGAAGAAGCCTAAGTTGAAATTAACAAAACACACAATTGTTGTGTTAAAAAAAAAAATCAAATTTTACTCAAATAAACCATATTATGCTTCAAAGTATTGGCTTGGATAACAGAACATAGTATATAATGATTAATTCTTACAACACACCAAACAAAAATTACCCAAATCCATTTTAGTCTAATCTAATATGTTGTGTGGTGTTGCTATGCAGTGCTTTCTATTCAAAATGGGAAAAAGTGTTTTGGAGTTTGAAGGGCTCTTATGGAGCATCAAGTGAGCAAAAGGCATTTTAAATTATAAGTTTTTGCCAATTAATAAATTAATGAAGGGTTAATTAAAAAGAAAGCAAAATAATGGATGTGGCTATAGTAATTGACTTGAGAATCAATTTATCACTGATATGAAATTACTTCAATAGAATAGTTATGTTCATCTGATGATTTGGCCTCAGCTGTACATTCTGTCTACTGTAGATATATAGTTTTAAATCTTAGATCTGAATCTAATGAAGGATAGATTGCAAATATAATCTGCACTATTGGCTAACAAATACATTAATGATCCATGCAGCACAATTTAATCATGGTACTTCTCCCTACGCATAAGATCATAAATATTTTGTTGCCTGTAGATTAAACCAATAAGAACTCTCAGAAAAAAATGGATTTGTTTCCAAGGTTAAAGTCAGAAGGAAGTGAGTTAAATTGATGATCCCTGAACATCAGGTCCCTGAGGACCTCACCAAAATAGCTATAGATAAAACTACTCCTCAACTTTTAACTCCATCTGACTGAACAAATAAGAAATCTCTGATATTGAAATCATAACATAAAGTAGCAACTAGGTCAGAAGTAGGAATGCAAGTTATTACTTTTATTATATTTTGCAGACCTTAAGAGAAAGAAGAAGATATGGCTAACTGATCCTGTTGCAGATGCTTAAAAGAATAGCGACAGAACATTTGAAAAGTCTTTTACTTGGAATGAAGAGTAAATATGTTCAACATTTTCAACTGATATAGATATAGGAAAAGATTGATTATTCCAGTAGCCTTTTCAGATTGCGTGTTGTTATTCAAATCAACACACTTGAATAAATTATGCAACAAAGGAAATAGTGGTGATGTTCGTAAATGGTGTGAAAAACTGAATATTTGCTATCACTTTTAAAACTTGAAATCAAGAGATTAACATTGACTATTAATAGCAACAAGTAAAACTCTCTCTCTCTCTCTCCCTTTCTCTCTCCCTCCCTTCCCTCTCTCTCTTTCTCTCTCTCCCTCCCTCCCTCCTCCTCTCTCTCTGATAGCATGATAAACACTGTTGGATTCCAAAAATAGAAAAATGCCTAAATTTCTCCTTTTCCGGAGACTCAGGGTGGCTTACGTTTTAAGCAATAGCCTTCATTCTTTTGTATATTTATACAAAGTCATCTTATTGCCCCCATAATCTGGGTCCTCATTTCACCTATCTTTGAAAGGATGGAAGGCTGAGTCAACCTTGAGCCTGGTGAGATTTGAACTTGCAGTAATTGCAAGCAGCAGAGGTTAATAACAGTGCATTAGTCCACTGTACTACAGGCTCAGAAGCATCTAAATAGTTCTTTAAAAACTATTTAAAAAAAATTACAATATCTTTTTGGCCAGGTAATTGAAAATATGGCACAAGGCTCTCTGTCTGATCTTATAGCAAGATTTTGTTGTTGTTTACTATGACAGTACCAAAAAGAGGAGTCATATCTGTTGAGCATATTGTAGGCAAAATTGCCTTAACAAAAAATCCCCAACAAAAGGAGCAATATCAATTTTATCAAATTCATATCTGCATGAACTATTTTGTGCTTGTTTTGAAAGAAAACTGTAGAATCTGAACTTCATTGAGATTTAATGCACTTTTTGATCAGCAGGCGATACTCCTTATATAAGAACTCACAGAATTGCATCTAGGTTACATCCCATGTGAAGTTACTGATTTTTTTTTTACAGGAGATGATATGTTTCATTAGTAAAGATGCTTTCCCTGACCATTGGCCAAGCATAAGCAGAAAGATGAATATGCCAAAAAAAAAAAAAAAATCTAATTCATAATTAGTTGTGAAAACTTATGCAACTGCTTTTGCAAATAGAATCAAATGTTTTGTTCTTTCACAGAAGGATAATAGAAATACAGCATTTTATCTTCAAGAATACAATTTTCCAAATAAAATTCTAAGGAGATCTCAGAAACTCTTGAATCTCTATAAATCTAATCACCTAAAGGCAGGGTGCTGTGGAGAGGGGCATCCAGCTTTGTATACAGAATAGTCCTATTCATCAACAACATACACAGAATTAAATTGTGGAAGTCAGATGCAAGCACACAATCCTTGGATGCTTTCAGAGTATTTCTGCGAATATTTAAAGGAGTTTGCAAATTTTCAGAGGTCTGAGTAGCCTACCTTTTGATGAAGAAAAACCAAATTTCCCAAACAGGGGCATATGATGAAATATAAGCATATTGTGAGTACCTTACATTTGTACTCTGCGTACTGCACTGTCTGTCCGTGAGGTATCACTTCAGTTGACACTGTCAGCTTCAGTTCAAAGTGCAGATATCTAGAAAATCCCCAGTATGCTGGACTTGCACCTACTTGCAGGACTGCTTCCTCCAACTATAATTGTATGCCTTAATTCAGGCATCTCAAGAAAAGCTGTTAGTAATATCCCATTTCCACAAATTCTATCGTCTGCAGGCCCATAAATGTTGTTTTTCATTGGTGAGATTCCTGCTATGGAAGAGTCTCTGGTAGAGATCAAATGTTCACAATTCCCAGACATACTTAAGTAGCCTTCTGGAATGTTTTGAAGATTGTGATATTGCAGAAGGCATAGAAGAAGTGACAGAAGCAGCATAAAGGTTTGTTTCCTTTTTCTGATTTAATTGTCACATATACATTGTCTTGTCTGCTCCTAATTATGGTAATTGCAGAGACTCTGGCTAATTGCAGCAAGTATTAACTTGATCAATATAGAAATAAATACATTCGAATGTTTGGAGTTGAAAGGATCCTGAAGGTCAGTATAGGAATCGAACAATGACCACATACTGAACAGATGGCCATTCAGCCTCTACTTAAATAGCAATAGTGCTTAGATTTCTATACTGCTTCACAGTGCTTTACAGCCCTCTCTAAGCAGTTTACAGAGTCAGCCTATTGCCTCCAACAATCATTTTACAGACCTCGGAAGGATGGAAGGCTGAGTAAACCTTGAGCCGGTGAGATTCGAACTGCCAAACTCCTGGCAATCAGCAGTCAGCAGAAGTAGCCTGCAGTACTGCAATCTAACTACTGTGCCATGACAGCTAATGAATAAATACTACCAGCAAGAGAGAATCCATAAATTCTCAAGGAAATCCAGTTCACTCAAAATTTTCTTTTTATCATTAAGTCATTTCTTCCAATCCTGAATTGAAATTAGCTTCACTGCAAATTCTATCTAGTTTTTACAGAAGGGAAGCAGTTTATTAACATTCAACAACACTTTTGCACACAGTTATTTACAGTTAGTCCTCAACTTACAACAGTTCATTTATTGACTATTCAAAGTTACAATGGCAGTGAAAAAAGTGACTTATGACTGTTTTTCACACTTATGACCATTGCAACATCCCCATGGGCACGTGACCAAAATTCAGATGCTTGGCAACTGGTTCATATTTATTATGGTTGCAATATAATCTTTTGTGATCTTTTGACAAGCAAAGTCTATGGGGAAGCCAGTTTCACTTAACAACCACATTACTAAATTAACAACTACAGTGATTCATTTAACAACCGTGGCAAGAAAAATGGGATAAAACCTCACTTTTCTATCTGAAAACTTCACTTCACAACTGTCTCGCTTAGAAACAGAAATTTTGGGGTCAATTGCTGTCGTATGTTGAAGACTATCTTGTACAAGCAGATATTTTAAAAAATGCTGAAGAAATAAACCCAAGATGCATCGGGGGTCCCTTCAGCCTCTTTCTCCACCTGCAGCTGCCGGCTATGCCCCTATTAGACTGTTCCCTAGGCCAGGGGTCTCCAACCTTGGCAACTTTAAGACTTGTGGACTTCAACTCCCAGAATTCTGGGAGTTGAAGTCCACAAGTCTTAAAGTTGCCAAGTTTGGAGACCCTTGCCCTAGGCAGCATCTCTCCCCTTCCCCATTATATTCCCACAAACCATTACATTTCTTTTGGGCAGCAGTCACTTTTAATCAGTCAGGTCCACTTCCCTCCTTTTTTATCTGTAAGTAATTTTACCAACTCAAGATCTGTAGGTTTCTTGATCAGATTTTCAGTCCGCCCCCTCACAGTGACCCAGCTTTGAAGAAATAGCTTACTAAGTTCCCCAGATACCTTTGTTTTTGTTTTGCTTTTTTGAAATATGATATGTGATCTCCATCAGCAAAATATGCCTCCTAGAATTTCTTAACGATTAATAACGTGAGTTTTGCGCGCCTGTTTTAGAAGAATCTACACTGAGGACGCCTTGATCTCTTCAAGGATTTGAATTATATCAATGTGTAGATCCTGGGTTAAATTACTGAAATAATGTAACTTTGATTAATGTAATAGATTTGCCACACTTCGAACTGTTTCATGACAATATTACGTTATTTTTTTATTTAAAACATATTAATAAGATGGAGAAAAGAAACAAGAAAGATCTGAGTTTAGCATGAATTTGAAAGCATCAGGCAGGAGATGTCTACCTCAAGAAATGAGTGGGCTGTCAGGAAATCTTTATGACTTCAATCAACTTAATAAACTATATTGAAAACTAAAGTGATTCCTTGCTATTTCAGTGCCTCTCAATTTATTATGTATGAGGGGAAAAAAACCAAAACAAATCCATCATCTTCTGAAATAGTTAGTTTTGATTATCTAAACAATTCCCCCCACTCCCAAGTATGGTGGCAATGGATGTTAAGTTATAAATTAAACAGAGGGATCTTATCCGGCATGCTAACAACTCTATACTGAAGAGAAGAGTCATAAATCAGAAGATTTGGGGAAATGGTTTTGTGCAGCCATAGAAAATAAAAACAGGGTATTAGCAAAAGAGCCATCTGTTCCAAGCCTGCAACTGAATAGCCTTTGCATAATATAGCTCAGGGAACATTCTTCTGCACAACAGACCATCCATCCTTTATGTCAATATTTCTCACTTCAACAATTTTAATATGTGTGGACTTCAACTCCCAGCATTCCTCAGCCAGCATGGGAATTCTGGGAGTCACGTTCTGCAGTTGCTGAGGCTGAAAAACACAATTTTAGGTAATATTAACTTTGTAAAATATCATGGTCTTGGATATGGTCTCTAGGTCGGGGAAAGACCAGCCCACAGGCATTTAGAAAGAATAGTATGACCATTTTATTTAGACATTTGAATGCTGCTATGAAGAATATGAAGAAACTAGGTGAAAATATGGGGGGATATTCCAAAATGAACTTGGTCTTTCCTTTAAAACAAAGAGTGTTACTCCTACCTCAGGTTCACCACAATCACACTCTTCTCCCTCTTCTACATAGCCGTTCCCACATTTGGGGTCACCAAATGCTTCCTTAACCTCTGGAAGGTTGAAGAGACACATCCCCATGCCTTTCTCCAAGCTGATTTCCAAGTCCTTCTTGCTGCAGCTGCTGAACATCATAGGAAACGGATAGCTAGAGAAAAATAGGAGAAAGATTGTTTGTTACTATAATGGAATTTAGGTGAAAGAAGACGCCCTAACATGCTGCTTTGTTAGCATGCTATTCTAAATTGTACAGCATCGTAATACACTATAATCAACAAGGCAATAAGTGTTCCCGCTATTGGGAATTAAATGTAAGCATATTGACAATGGCTGATGTTAATGCTTCTTCCACAATGCATACTTTGTGTACATTAATAATTATTATAAACTCACAAAGCTGTCTTAAGAAAAACAGACTGCATAAAATTAACCACAGTATATTTTATAGATCTTTTAGTAAAATAAACATGCTTAGGGATGACTAATTCTCGCTACTGTTACTGTTCCGGGCCTGCCATATCAAGACAGATTTTACAAAGTGGATAGTTTGGGGGAAGAGAAGGAGTAGGAAATGGGACACAACAGATTAGAATCTGTAGGAAGGTAAAATTGGCATTACAAGTAGTCCTCGCTTAAGAACTAGTTGCTTGACATGCTTGAAATTACGACGGCTTTGGAAAGGGTGATTTACGGCCTGTAAAGCACTTCCCACCATCATAAATCATCACTAATCACCCCAATCATGTGACCATATTTCAAATATTGGCAACCAGCTCACATTTATAACAGTTTGCAGCATCCTGTGGTCACAGGGCCATGATTTTAATGGGTTTTTTTTGTCATTTTCCAGCAGAAAATGGCAAAAATGGCTATTGGATATGCTGGATTCACTTAACAAAGATGTGATTCATTTAACAAACACAAGGTTCACTTAATGTGACTTGCTTTACTACCATCATAAAAACAGTTATAAAATCTAGTCAGATTACGTGGTGGCCCTTTTAATGACTGCCTTGACTTACAACCAAAATTCCAGGCCCAATTCTGGTCATAAATTGAGGACTCCCTATAACACTCTAATAGCAAACAATGGATCAAATGTTTGTGCTGCTTTTGCTACTGATTATATATGAAGGATACGAAAGGATATGAAAGAGTTTTTGTGAAGTTTCTACTCTTCATTTTTATGCTCTTGCATGCTTTCTTTGGTTTTCTGTTGGATGTTTGCCATTCAGTTAATCGTGAGTGGGGCTCAAAAACCTTTCTATTCAGTTTAATGCCAGCTGCAACTGGAAGGTAGCAAGGACATCATGCCACTGCTATGGACACTAAAAGAATGCCAAAACACACATACTAGCTCTTCTGGGACATTTCTTGTGATTACATTAGTTTGAATCACAACCATCTGGCAAATAAAAAGCAAACTGCCTTATTTTCTAGGCTCTGGATTTCGCTTGTCCTTCTGCATTCAACCAGCAGCTTCATGCTATAGCTGGATAGAGAGCCAGCCAGCTCAATAATCACTGGAGTTTGTTCCCAAAATGTCTTACATCAATCCTCTGCTATTAAAGCTAGGATGAAGCCTTAAATAGGCAAATAAGGGGAAAAACAGAAAATCTGCATAGAGTGTGTTTTAACTCATCAAATAAGGGAGTCTTATTAAAGGAATTAAAGAAAAAAAATCATCCCTTTTTCTGTTCACAGTTAAGCCATGATTAAATAAAAATGTCTCCTCCATATCATAGATTGGAGATCTGATTTGCATCCTGTAATTTTATTTTTAGGAAGAACAGCATTTTCACAAGCCACTGGTAGAGGTCAGTATGACTTTGCTTCATTTACAGTGGTAACCTGGGTCTTCACACACACACACACACACACACACACACACACACACACACTTGCATGTGCTTGTTGCCATTTTCCCCATGATCCTGTCTCCCCAAAGTCTTTTGTTTTCCTTCCTCTCCTCTTACTAGGAATCAATACTACTGCTTTCCCATTTTTTGTTTTGTTTTAAAAAGAGTTCAGATAAGTTAGGAGCAAAACTATTGCTGCACTTGGCATCTTCCTTTCCTCTGAAATCAGCTAGAGGAAGAAAAAGAGGAGGAAGATAGAGTCTTGGCTGATTTTTTAAAATGATCTGGGTGGTGAAAATGCTGGACTATTGGACAGTAGACTTTTACACAATTGTTCTGCAATAGCAACACATTCATATGACGAAGTGACGTGGACATCAGGAATAAATAAAAGTAATCTGGGAACTACAAGAAATAAAATGAAAGAGGGGTAGATACATTCAGCATGAAGATTTATGTGTCCTTCTAAATACAACTCTTGATAACAACAGTCTTTGTTGAAAAGGCAAACAAATGTGACTACATTATTACACAGGCCCAAGAACTGCTCAAATTAATGTTCTGTGACAAATTTACAATAGATGCTTCCACTGGTCCATGGAGTACAGTAGCAGAATTGTTTAGAATCTATATCTATGTTAACTGATACATTATACTGCATAAACTGCTTAGTTTAGGCACTGAAAATGTAAGTTGAGATTTCAAACCAGACAGAGGAAAGCTATTTCATCTCAGTCTCAGAGACACATTTTTCAGAGTAAAAATGAAGTGAAACAATTAAATATGCATTATATTCCTTCCTGGGTTCAGAAACCAGTCTCCATTCAGATGTAAAATGTAGCCTTCCAGTTGCTGTCCCTGTAAATTTAAGAATCATGTCATTTTGGTATCAGTTTCAGTAATGTACAAGTTGTGTCTTGGCCTATTGTGTTGATACTGATACCCAGCTGGTAGGCAATCAGAACTGGGATTGGAAGACAATACTATAGGCTCAAATCATGACAAATGCAAAAAAAGAGAGGGTTTTTTTGAGTAAATATTAAGATACATAGAAAAAGAAAGATACAATAATCTACAACCCTTTGCCCAGTGGTGAAATCTAAAATTTGTTACTACAGGTTCTGTGGGCGTGGCTTAGTGTGGGGGGGTGTTAATGTGACTGGGTGGGTGTGGCCAATTTTTTTTTTTTTTTACTTTTAAAACCATTTTTTCTACAACTTCTTCGGCGAAAAAAATGCTTTCAAAAGGCTCTGACGATCCCAGCTGAGTTGCCTGATCAGCAGAGGGTTTTAAAAAAACCCTCTGCCGATCAGGCAACTCAGCTGGGATCGTCAGAGCTTGGATTGTCAGAGCCATTTAAAAAAAAAAAAGCCTCTGATGATTGCACGGCTCAGCTGGGCATGGAGGGGGGGCAGGGATTTTTGCTACCGGTTCTCCCGAATAGGTGCGAACTGGCTGAATCCCACCACTGCTTGAAGTTCTTGGCATTTGGTGTATTTTGCCAGCCTTTATACTTTTCACAAGAGAGTAAACAATAGAATACTTGGTGATAGCTTGGTGGTGCACCTAATCCATGAATTGGTTACAACTAAGTTAATTGACTTACTGCCAAATATATTGTTTAAATAATGCATTGTCTCCAGCATGCACCATGGGAAGATGATCTAGTGACATATCTTATCAAAACCTTAAGAAACCAGACAATGCTCGGTTAAAGGTATTGACACCATGAGACATTGTTTCTAGGATAGGGCTACCTGTTCTCCTGTCTGCATGGATCACATTACAGAGCTCCTTCTCTTTATCTTAATTGTTGTAAGTAGCAATGCAGATAAAAGGTTTGAAGTGAGAGTAATTACATACAAGTTGTAAGAACCTCGAAGCAAAAGTGATTACTTTCAAATTGCAGTAGATTGTTAAGTAACTCTTTCTTAGTATGGGTACAGAGTATGGAAGAGTTCACAATGCAATGATGTAATTTGCAAAGCTTGCTAAATACCACTAATTGCCAGCCTGGGGAATTGCATCTTATATGTATATAGACAGAGAAAAAATGGAGTACACCACTACGCCTCCTCACTAATTTTTTCGCAGTGACTCAAAAACCCAATTCAAAGTGCTGTTTTTAACCAATAAAAATGTTAAATAGTTTTTAAACAAGGACATCAAAAAGATTACTACTTCACTTATGACTTTGCTTACTCATTCTAGTAATCATTGGAGGTCCTGTCATACATCTTACAACATACCTCTCCAAATCTTTCCATCATGGTGGAAACATGAAACATTGCCTTCATTTCACCTGCCTCATACCTAGTAGACTTTTTGACTGAAAAATTGTTTGTCCCCCTCTTTCCTTCCTGAATCGTCTCTTCTACCACAATTTCTACCCTATTCCTTTCCAGGGTCCTTCTCCCATTTGGGAGAACCATTCAACCATTTGGTTGAGGCTAGGAGTTAGGAAACTGAATTCTAGTCCTGTTTTAGGCATGAAAACTAGCTGGGTAACTTTGGGGCAGTCACTCTCTTGTAGCCCTATGACATTCTTGGGTGACAAGCTGATCAGTCAATTCCTGTCATAACCAATGGATCAACACTTGATTGATCAGGGGGAAAAAGCAGACCCTGCACTGTGGGACAACACCGGGAAAAAAAATGTCAAGAAGGGAAGAGAACGTTTCTGTCCACCAGCACAGTCAGTAAAAGCCAGTGTTTGATCCTGCTGCTTCTGCTTTAAAGATTTAACACCTTTTAATGGAAGCAGATCTAAGTTTCTTTTTAATGAACTTCATTTAAAAAAATAAAACTTACCATAGCTGATCCTCTTTTTCTACAGTTCGTTTTTAAGATTGGCACTATTATCTTTTATTATTTTAAAGATTTTCCATAGTGTGCAAATGCTGGTTTGAAAATTACAGGAATAGCAAAATAACATAAACAGTAACAACAAACAGTTTAAGCAATTACGATTCGGAAGAAAAAAGACAGTAAATATTTCTGTAATTAACATTTAATATTTATGACCATTTCTCTGGGCAAAGATATCAAGGGCCTCTCAATGGGATAGCAGATGCTTTGGTCTATGCTGGTGGCCACAGAGTGTCACTATTAACCGAGCTATTCTTCAGCCTTCAAAGGACCTTCAAGCTGTTTCCTATTGTGAAGTAGTGGAACCATTAAATTTCTGGATTTTCCTCTTCTTGACACTCATTCCCTCATTTATAATCAGCTGCATATTCATTATTTACCAAAGAAAGCAGAAAGCTATTGAAAAGATTTTGCTGGAAAC